AGGAGTTGAGGTCCAGTTAGCTGACACTCTGTTTGATGAGATGGTAAAGGAAAAACCTAAACAGGTAGAGGATCACGCAGAAGTGTTTAGTTCTGAAAGATTAATGGAGTTACAACAAAAAGATAAGACGATAAAGGATTTATATGATAAAGCCTACTCTGAAAAGGAATCAGAATGTATTGCAGAATGTTATTAACTTAAAGATAAAGTCTTAAGATAAAATTGTAGACCTTGGCAGGTTAGTGCAGATGAGAAATAGGTGGAAGTTCACTATATTGAGTTGCTTGTATCATACACACAGGAAGTAGCGGGTAGCATACAAATTACTTGTAGGAGGTAGTCTAGGAGTGAGAAAGACTCAGGCTAAAATATAGAAGCATTTCTACTGGCCTGGATTACAGAAAGATGTATTTGAATTTTGCTGTACCTGTCATGTGTGTTAGATGGTATGAAAGTCACAGGCAGTAATAAAACCAGCACCTTTGATGCCAATTTCATGCTGGTTATAATTGATTGTGTAGGTCCCCTCAGTAAAACCAAAAGTGGGAACCAGTATTTGCTAACGATAATGAATGTGTCTACCAGATTTCTGAAGGCAACTCCATTGCAGAATGTTAAGGCACAAAAAGTGGTGGAGGAGTTCTTGCTTTCTTTACCTGTTATGGACTATCCAGGGAAATTCAGTCAGACCAAGGGTCCAATTTTACTGCCAAATTATTTAAGAAGGTCATGGATAATTTAGGCATCAAGCACTTTAAACCAAGTGCGTACCATTCTGAACACCTGGGAGCATTGGAAATGTGGCATCTGATGTTAAAGACAATGCTGAGGGCTTAATGCCAGGATTACCCAAATGATTGGGATAAAGGTATCCCATTTATATTATTTGCTATTAGGGATGCTCCAAATAAATCGACTCAGTTTACTCCATTTGAAGTGATATTCAGACACAAAGTAAGAGGGCCTTTAAAATTAATTAAGGAAAAGTTGACAGTCAAAAGTCAGAGATTTCACAGTGGATTATGTATCTGAGGTGAGAGAAAGATTAAACAGAGCAGCAGATAAGAAATCTAAAATTAATATGTTTGCCTATGGGAATAACGTATTGGTGCTTTTACCGATGGTAGGATCTCCCTTCAAAGCAAGGTTTAGTGGTCCCTATCAGATTGAGAAGAAGTTAAGTCAGGTCAATTATCTGGTAAAGGTGGCAGATAGAAAAAAAATTATTGGGTATGTCATGTGAACATGCTGAAACCTTACTATGATAGGGAAAGGAAACCAGAGAAACGGGTATTAGTTACTAGCACTGAGAGTGAGGAATCAAACCAGATGATGTGGATTTTGATATGCCTCAGAATTAATCGAATAACAAGTAAGTCCTTAAGGAATGGGACAGGGCAGTGAGCTCTCTGACCTAGGAACAGAAAACTGAATTGAAAGACTTGTTGAGGACACACATAGAAATAGAATGGGAGGACTAAGACGATAGTGCATGAGGTTGACGTATGGAATGCCCCTATAGGCTTAATCCTCTCAAAGCAACACAGGGTCATAAGGAAGTAGAAGTGATGCTTCAAGAAGACATCATAGAGTCTAGTCAAAGTGAGTGGAATTCCCTGATTGTGTTCTTTCCCAAACCTGATGGTACTCAATGATTCTGCGTAGATTATTGGAAGATCAATGCCGTGTCCAAATCTGACTCATACCCAATTCCAAGGCTGGTGGACTGTGTGGGAAAAGACAGGAGAACTAACTGCCTTCAGCCAGAGTTAACAGCTCTCAGCTCTCAAGAGAGAATCATTGGCTCTCACAGACCTCTAAATTTTAGAGAAAGCACCATTTAAGGAAAAATCAAAGGTACCAACGGCACAATTAGTTAATATTCCTGACAGAAGAATTGATGGAAAAGGCACACACAGTATTTCGGAAGACACATAATCTGGCTGTAATTTTGAGAGACCAGATTCTCTTTTTTTTAATTTTATATAAGCAGGACTTGTATTTATTGGAATAGTCTACTATTAGAAACTTGTTTTATTCGGGAATAGTTAGTAGTTAGAAGCGGCTTATTCAGATTGTTAATAGTTTAGTTAATTTATTCACTGTTGGAGTTCGATAAATAAATTGCTACTTGTTGATTGTAAAGTGAGCATCAGGGATTTGTTTTATTTAACCACCAGAAGTTGCTGAAAGGCAGGTTACTCCACTATTCACACTCCTTTTACAGATTATACAGTGAGGTGCTCCTCTTTGAGTGTTTTAGTTTTTAGTTTTTAAGAGGGGTGTCAATCTCCGCCTTATATCAACATTTATCAAACAAAGTCCTCTTGCCATCTGACTGGTTTGCTCCAATCGTGCAGTATAAACATGGTTTTCCCCTTACTTTGGTATTTCTTATGAATTTTCCTAATAAGTGCAAGACAAAAAGCTTTCACAAATTGCTTTTCTTTCATTTTATTATATAGTAAAAATGACACACACCAATACTTAGTATTGTTAGCATTACTTAATATTGCATGAATTTATCTGTTATAGTTATCTAAAGCTAAAAAGTATGTAATCCACCTTTGAGAAAACTAAAATAAATAAACAGTTCTAATAGAAGTTAAAATGCAAATTTAGTTTAAAAATCAGAGTATATGATACAAATAACTCATCGCGGCATGTTTTGCCAGCAAAGAACAATGTGGCAAAATCTAAATTAATTAACAAACCTGTTAAGTTTACTTGAAGAAATCATTTTCTGAAAGTAGATGCTACGTGTGACTGCCAAAACAGAGATACCAGAAAGTGTACGAGCCTGCATCCTGTAAGGTACAAGTCTCAAGACTACAAGCCCTCTGGCAATCAAAAGACGAAGAATGAAACTTTCGCCTTCCTCTGTTGAACCTGCAGATGGCTGAATGAATGCCTTCTGAAGAATCGTCACTGGATTTGAAACATTAAATCTGTTGTCTTTCCACTGATGCTGCCAGACCTGCTGAATTTCTCTAGCAATTTCTATTTTTGTTTGATTCTAAAGGAATGCTACCTTTGCCAGCTGAAGCAGCGTTTGCACATCAGCAAAAACTGTCTCCCATAATTTAAAATATTAAGAGCTGGCCTTCATGCCCATAAATTCTCCTGAGTCCTGTAACCAAACAGATCCACTGTCTGGCTTATGGGAATGAATAGCAAATTTGCAGAAGGATCCAGGCAAGGACTTGTAGTTAGAGGCAGGTCCTGGGAGACAATCAGATGAAGGACAGAACCCAGGGTTTCAAGGAAATCTCAAAAGTTAAAACTGCCTAAGTTTCCTAACACCATTGTGAATGCACCTATGCATAGAAGAGACAGTGGAACAATTGTAACGTCACTGGGCTAGTAAGCTAGAACTCCAGTCAAGAGTTCTCAGGATGTGGGTTTGAATCCCACCACAGCAGATGGTGAAAATTGAATTCAATAAAACCTGGAATTAAAAACCAGTCTAATGGCAACCATTTAATTGTTTTAAAACCCCATTTGGTTCACTAATGCATTCCAGGAAAGGAAATCTGCCATCCTTGTCTGGCCTGCATGTGACTCCCGCCCACAACAATGTGGTTACTCATAACTGCCCTCTGGACAACAAATGGTGGCCTCGACAGCAACGGTCAGATCCCATGAATATTTTTTGTTTAAAAATCAGCCTCTCCCGGTTCATAATCCAGCTTCCCGACAGGTTTGACCCGACAAGCAAGCAGTCCCTGGTCCTTCATTCAGCCTTCCAACTAAAATCACAGATTTCATAATTATTGGTTTGCTATATTCACACAGAACACAGTTGTTCTTTCTCAAAATTTCCCATTCATCTGTTCAACAGAGCAGGTCAATATTGGGATGTGGGCCAGGGACAGCAATAGGACAAGGAAAATGAAGGCCCTTATTTTAATTGAACATTTTCTGCTAATCTTTGGTCAACAGATCAGTGTCAATGTTACCACTTTGAAGCTATTGGTTTCACAGATATACAATTTGTGAACTCAAGTCAATCAACTTTAGATCATTGCTCAAGTTCTGGCTGTGTAAATAGGAACCAGATTATTTTTTCTTTTTTTATCTTTCTGGATTTTCAATGGATTGAAAGATAAAAACGATTTTAGCATTTTGGTTAGTCCCATATCACATGAATATTATTGACAAACAAAATTCTTAAGATATCAGCAGGGAAACATTACCACTCCAATCATAATTTTAGAACACAACAGAATAGATGATGTTAGTCCCACCACCTCCCCGAGCCCTCTGCAAAAGAGTGAATTTGGGGAGATGATTTTAAACCTGAACCCAACCTGCATCAAACCCGCCTACTTCTGCTTTTAACAGATGCATGATTGCTTGGGAAGGGTTGGGAGGTGGATTTCCCACAATTACCAACTCTTCCTCATCTTCCTCAATCACTAATACCTACTCCCCTGAATCACTGGTACCAGATCACTGAACCTTTAAATGATCAATGACTCTCCTGATCACCAACCCTCTCCTGTGATTAGAGTTCATGATCACTAACCTTCCCATTGTTTACTGGTTTCCCCAGCCATCTCTGTGATCACCATATCCCCCTATGAGCAGTGACCTTTGCAAGAAGCCACCAATTTCCCTTGTCATGGTTACCTGTCATTCCCTGCTATCATGAGACCCTAGTCACTGACTGTTCCCAACCATTGATTTCACCCACAATGGCATATAAAACATAATATAATTTTTATAGGACCATTTTAGAATAGTTGTCCATGATATCAATCAGAATACTTATATAATGGTATTTAATAATGTAATCAAGTTAAAATTACTTCCAAGTACTGTTGTTACAAACTTTTAAAAAATGACAGCATTTAATTTATAAGGTATATTGTACATCACACTCTGGTAATTCAGGTAATAGATGCACATACTGTGCAATTGTTTCTCCCTTTATGATGAGAATAGCATGTATAAAAATGATACAGATTAAATATAAATTCCAGTGACTGATACATTACCTCACGGATTTCTTTGATCTTTGAACCTCCTTTCCCAATGAGAGAGCCACATTGGCTTGCTGGAACAACTAGACGTAACGTCACAGGTGGTTTACTTGTCACTGTGCTATTTGTCATTGAAGAATTTATATCCTGTAATAATAGTTTCAGTAAAAATTAGTCTTGGATTTGTCATTCGATTTGAAAGTTTAATCCTCTCCTCAGAATATCACTACAACAAATCCAGGAGCCATAGAGGAGAACAGACATAAAATTCACTGTGGATTCTGTTGAAATAAATACCCACAGAATCTCAAACAGATGGTCAAGAGTTGATATGTACATTGAAATGCAACAGATTAAGTAAGTTGAAAACAGAGTGCTTCAAATACCTACAACACATTGCATGGTGATAAATATAGATACAACTCTGTCAGTAAATTCAGCTTTCACTGTGTTTCGCTGGTAACAATGGTCACAAAGTTTGACTCCTATTAGCCACTTTTTGGGCATTGCAGGTGATATTTTTGCCTTCGCTCAAAATATGGAGAGTAGGCATCTTGTGATGTTAATCAACATTTTGGAGCTCAATGTTCAAGTAAAGGCCCTCTCTTAACTTTACACAGTTGCATTCAACAGTAGAAAGACCCTTCCTTCTACACACTCTATGAATACAGTTGAAATGCATCAAGTACTTTCAGGTTAATTTCTGATTTCCACTGGCTGTTGCTGCAGTTGTAGACATTTTGGGGGCAAGCAAGGCTTCTCTAAAGTGTTAAAGTCTATAAGGAGTAATATGAAATGAGCTGAAACAGATATCACTGACTTCAAGCATTCATTACAAATCATTTGCTTCCTGACACTTGTACAGTACTGGTCATTCCCCTTGGACTACAACATGATGAGGACAAAGAGCAGACATAGCTACAGAATAAGGCAAATTTGCTGAAAGAGTGAAAAAGAACAGATGTAGCTACAGACCAAGGCAGGATTACTGGAAAAGTAAGAAGGAGAAAGAAACCCTCTCATTGGGAGATCATATCCACTCAGGGTATTCATGCGGCAATACTCCCACCTGAACCTCAGCAAAAAGCAATGTCTGGATATTATGCTCGCCCACCAATGGGTGAATCCAGCAAGTGGTCTTCCTTGCCTGCCTACCCAAACTCTCTGAAATTTAGTTTACAGCAGATTTGGGGGGAGGGGTGTGAGTGGAAGCATCAACCAGCCCTTCAGTACAAGGGACCATAGAGGTTCTTAAATAGGGGCCTCATCCCACTACTGCCAGTATTTTATTCCCAATGGTGGAAGCCACACCTTAATGCAGTGGTCTCCAATATTTTAAGCACAAGATTACTTTTTGAATTTAAGCGCAAGCCAGGATCTAGCCAAAATCAGATATAGAAAAAAAAAATTACTTTTAGTGTGATCTAACTCTAAAGCCAAGTGTATACAATTATTCATTTTGTCCCTTACTGACCAAGTCTCAGTGTGACACCTGTGACTGAAGTTATCTGTCAGTGCTTTGAAGTCTGGGTTGCAGTTTAAGGCTAATAGTTCTACACAGTCCATCAAACAGTATCTGTGAGGTGGATGCGATATTTGGACTTGATTATCTTCATTTGGGAGAATGCTGTCTCATGGACATATGTGGCATTAAAGTAAGCTTTCACTTTTAAAGCACAGGATGAAAGAAGTGGTTATTTCTCTGTTTACGAATCCCCAAAAATAACTGTCCCTTAATCTGACTTTTAGCTCACTATCATTTTGCATTGTAATCATTTTATTACCAGACTTAACCTTCGCACATCAACAGGGAAGATTAGTTTACCGTAGGCTGCATCAAGTTTGTCATGTAAGACTTTTGATCAAATCAAGTTTACAATCTCAACAATATTCGTTATATGAGAAGACCACAACTTTACTTGCTAGTGCTTGCTGGTGGATTAAACAGTGTTAATTGCTAAAAGAGGGAAATCAGGATAATTTCTGCAAACTGCAACAAAGACCGCATTTGGGCCAAACATTGCTGGTGCACCATCAATTGTAATGGAAAACAGTTTCTGAAGAAGGGTCCTGACCCAAAACGTCAACTTACCTGCTCCTCTGAGGCTGCCTGGCCTGCTGTGTTCCTCCAGCTCCACACTCCAGCATTTGCAATTCTTGCTATCTCTCTTGAATGGAATCTTTTTTCAAGCACGCAACTTTTGAACACATTATAGATATCTTCACCCCTTATTCTCACCAAGTAATAGCTCTGGATTGCCATTTTTATTTCTTAAAATCTTTGAATAGGTCATTGCTTCTTTAATTTTTTTAAAATTAATTCACAGGATATGGACATCACTGGCCAGGCCAGCGTTTATTACCCATCACTAATTACCCAAACATCAGTTAAATGTCAACCACATTGCTGTGGGTCTGGAGTCACATGCAAGCCAGATCAAGTAGGGACAGCAGTTTTTCTCCCTAAAGGGCATTAGGGAACCAGATGGGTTTTTTCCTGACAATTGATAATGGCTACATGGTCACCATTAGGCTCCAGGTTCCAGATATTTATCAAATACATCTGCCATGATAGGATTTGAACCCCGGTCCCCAGAACATTATCAGGGTTTCTAGATTAATAGGCTGGCATAATACCACTAGGCCATCATCTCACCTTTGCTAAAAAAGCCTCAAAGAACTGTGAATGCTGGAAATCATAAACAAAAGTCTGAAAATGATGGAAAAACTCAGCAGATCTAGAAGCATCTGTGGAGAGAAAGCAGAGTTAACATTTCGGGTCCAGAGACTCTTCATCAGTACTATTCTGAAGAAGGGTCACTGGACCTTGTGAAAGGTTTTCCAGCATGTTCTGACCTAGCCTTTGACATTTGTCAATGACTTCTTGTGTTTGGCTAGAAGATGGCAAATGCCCTAAGTTTATAAAGGGTAGAATGTAGGGTACCAGCCAGACATGCAATGGAATAGCTGAGTTTGAGGTTAACAAAGGCATGGATAAGGGTTTCACAGTCAGTGAGTAAAGTCATAACTGAGGTGGAAACAGGCAGTCTAAGTAATGGCACAAATGTGGTTGAAAGGTCATCTTGTGATACTAAGGTTCAAAGTAGACTGGTTTAATCTTAAGACAACAAGGTGCAGGGCTGGA